AAAAATTCAGTGAATACTGAATGAATAAATAAGATGTCCTTTATGTGTGATGTACATAACATCTTCAATTATTTTGATCCTCCCAATGAATACCCCCTTTTTACTGCAGGATAACATGGAGAATTTTGTGAGTTAATGTTTACACATCTTAAAGTTTGAGTAACCTATTAACTATTGCATGTCCTTGTTAGTGTCATAATAACCCTTGGGTAGCCACTTCAGCATGTGCTAGAATGAAAATTTATATGCTACCCATCTCACAACTGAGTAACTCTTAATATCATTCAAATGAAATGCCATTAGTGTCCTTTTCTTCTATTTCAGAAGAATATATTCACTGGGGATGAAAAGAGAATGGCCGGAAAAAGCAGCTTATGGGGAAAGTACTAAATTGCTATAGTATTTTCTCTTAAATGGCTGCTTCTCAACTTTATACCATCTTCTTTAAAAACACTTCTGACTAAATAAAAGCAGACATCTGTTTTTTGTAATGACTTGATGTCTTACATTTGGTTGTCCTTCGACTGCCTCACCAAAGATCCAAGACATTTGTTTACTTCTATTAACTGAAAAATAATTTCCTTTTACCATTTTATAGCCTGGATTGATTTGCTGCCAAATCTTTTATGCAAAGAATCAAACTACTGCTACTAAAAACTAAGCTTTTCTCTTAAATATAAAAGTTGACTGGAAGAAGAACACAAGAGATTTTTCAATTCTCATATTTTAGATGCCAACCCAGAATATTTGTTTAATTGAATGGATAAAGTTAACGTGCAGCTCCACCAAATTCTAAAAGGTGGTCTTTCATATTTTCTCAGTCTTATCATTCAGACTTATTCCACGCTATGGAAGTTCCTGCAAACACTGTCTTTCCAAGTGTTCCCTTAATTTCCTGGTCTATTAGAGTTCTAATACAGATTTATATTTCCTAAACGAAAATATTTCTATAGATTCTATCATTTTATTTTCTTATCTGGCCAAATTTTGTTTTCACTTGCTTTTCAATATATTTTTTCTTGGTTTCCTTATTGGAATATGAGGTGCTAGAGTACATTTAGCTTTTATTTTTTTGTTACAAACATGATTATTTTAGGGAAATTTATAGAAATAGGTATCTTAACTTTCAGTTAAGATTTGTTTAATCCTAGGAACTACATCATAGAATTTTGTCACTTTCCCTAACTCCATTAATATAGTAACACTTTCTGATAAAAAAATATGATTGATATTGAACATTGGTTATTGTTTATTTGAAGGAACAGGATTTTTTTTATCTTTTACCCAGAATTATTTAATGTACTTCTTACTAAACTGATAGAGAATGAAAGATCACAAATTCCTTATGCCATTCTAGTAACACTTTTGTTAAAATCATAATTTAAACAATGTAAGTGACACGTGAATATATAAAGGCTATTTTGTGAAGTTACTTGCTAGGTATTTTCCAGTGTAAATCATTACTTCTTTAAAAAAAATTATCCAGGATCTCTGCAGTGGCTCCTTTCCTGTGGATCATCATCCCTATGGAGATAAGATTAGTTTCCACCTTGGTACCCTTTTAAAAAAACCTGATGGTTTTGCTAGTGGGCTGGTGGACCCAAAGTAATTCAAAGCCCATCAAATAGTTTGTTTGACTGTTGTTGCCAGGTATGTATAGGTTTAACTGGGTTTTATATTTGGGGTTTTATTTCTGTAAGCCTCACGGAGTCTCCATGAGTGAGTTGGGTGGACAGATAAATTTTCTAAATAAGTAATTCATGATCATCATCTTGATCATAATCACCTTTGGTTTCTCTATTGCTAAAGTACTTTTACAGATCACTGCACTATTCCATTTGGGGTAAATATTGCTGTATACTTATTCCTGCTTAGTACATTTACTATTATATTTATACTGATCTAAATGCAATGTTAATGTTGATCATCTTGGGTAATTCTAGGATGGTGGCTGGTGAAAAGAATGCCCTTACTAAATTTCTGGCTTTATGTTCAATTTGACAAATGATTAAGAAATTGAAATGAAACTCTTGCCAAAGTTCTCAAGGAAACTCTACTAATTACTCATATCTGAATATGTTTTAAATCAGTTTTCAGGAGCACCTCTGAACTGTGGAACAGCTTCCAAGCTATGCTCATCTAATGCCATCTTTATATAGTCAGTTCCTTTTGAAGATCTCTTTATCATGGCTAATTATGTGCAAAATGAAAGTGTTTAATATTTCATTTTTCTTTAGAATCAGCAGGTCTGAGTCTTCCATTGATGGCTTAAGTACAAGGCAGAACAGGAAGTGAGCATCTTAAAGAACTAAGGTGAATTTGATAGAATAAAAAGAAGGAAAAAGCCACAGCATTTGTAGTGTATAAAGAATTTTCAAATAGAACTAGCTGCTTCCAAACCCTTCTAATTTTTATTACAGAATGAATTACAATATTAAGAATTCTACATAATGTAATTCAGTTAATTTCAGTCAGATGAAAACTGAGCAGACAATGAAGGTTTTAGCATCTTCTTTACTGTGAAAAGCAGCTCAGCTTTTCTAAATAACTATCTTTTCTTGTGCGTCTTAGGTCTCATTTATACAATCTTTTTGATCCACTTTGTGACTGCGTGAGGTCATGCCCTCATAATGGAGCCACCATCACTTGGCTAGCTTACTGATGAGGCAGACAGAAACTGGATAATGGTGGACCAGCAAAAAGTTTGTTTTTTCTACAGAAGAGCAGTAGAAAAGACCCATTTCATCTAACGTGGTCAAAAAATCTTCAAAGGGTTAGCAACTTGGTGGATTCTAATTTGTTCTAACTTGTTCTATGTTTTGTTGATTGCTGTGCTCCATGCCTCTGCAGCTATATACTCCTTTGTTGTATGTGTATGTTTTAGTCAAGGAAATATCAACCTTGCGGAAAATCAAATGCAGATCTTCCATGAAGTTGTTATTCCCATCTCCATCCAAATTGTAAAAAAACCCCAAAATTTGGTGGAATTGGCACCAAGCATGGAGTGCTTGCCTAGGACCCCCTTCAATGGAAGGAAAGCACAATGATGAGACTTTATTGCTGAATCCTTTCTAACCATAGGCAAGTTATTTTCTTTGCCTGTGGCATGCTACTATATAAGTAAATCTATGGGATTCCCAGTTATTGAACTGAAAAACGGATCCTGTTAAAATGAATTATCAATGGAATGTTCATGCAATGATCCCAGTGATCTTGAGAGAAAACATTTTAATTTCCCTGAGTGCTTCAGAGTAGCCTTCACCAACAAGGTGCCCATATCTGTTAGACGTCAGTTCATGGAAGTGATAGGAATGGAAGGTTAATATTGCTGGAGGACATCAAGTAGATTCAGGCTGACCCAGAACGGTCATGTTGGTGTCCTTGGAACAATATAAAAATTAACAAGGCAGGCAAAGTGTCAAGAGTAGGGCTTCTGAAACCACTCATGCTGTTTCCCCTTATATTATGGGCACAAATACCCAGTGGTCGGATTCAAATATGTGAACAACTGGTTCTCTGTGTGGATGCTGCTTCTGGAAGTCCATTCTGGGCCTGAGTAACAACAACAAAAAAAAAAGCTACCGATTCTGCTGAAGTGGTGTGAACTGGCTGAATCCCACCACTGCAAATACCCCACTGAGAATTTCTATATATGTGTATGTTAGGTAACATAGGAGCAATCTTTTGTAGATTGTATTAGCAGGAGAAAGAAGAGAGTTTAGAACAAAGCCATAAGTAACATTCTGAACCACTTCTCCGTAAGGATATATTGGGGAAAATTTTCCCAGATTTTGTCTTTCTGCTGCCACTGTTAGATCCATACCATTTTCAAACCTGATCTTTCTCATTTTGATTTATTATTGGACTTTTTCTTAGCACACACAAGCACCAAATTGTTTCCTGTAGGGTTTTTAGATAAGTCATTATGCTGCTGGACATATATCAGGTTAAATATTAGAAAAAGCCCATTAATCAGGCCTCTTAGTTGAACCAGGCAGGATGTTCACTAAAAGGACAATTCATAAGCCATCCTCGTGGCATTTACTGTAGGTGAGATATTCATTATTTCCTAGAAGAATTGATGTCTCTGAAAATGCCCCTCTCTGAGTCCTTACATAATGGGTAATAAACTTGGTATGTCATGTGACATACCACAACGTTTTTTGCCTTTGTGGGGCTGGGGTGTTGCATAGCCTGCATGTGACGCATCCAACCCATGGGCCGCCAGTTGACATTTCTGCTCTACAGGTTCCTAAAGGGTATTCAGATGGGAGACATAGTTCTAAAAATATGTTAGGAATACATACTCTGTCAGAAGGCACCTCATCTTTGTTACCTCCACATGCAGAACTTGGATAAGATGTGAGTCCACTGAACTCAGAAAAAGATTTTTTTTAAAAAAAAAAAAACAAATTCTGCACAGGGAGAGGGACACACACTTTGGGATGGGATGCCCTCATGTGGGTGTTCCTCCTGAACAAATTGGCTCTTGGATAAGAAGGGATCCAAACTATCTACGTTGCAAATAAAATTTTCCATCAAATATGTAACCATACGGTACTTGATTTCATTGCCATTCATTTGTTTTCTATTGTTCTTCCTGTGGTTTGATGGAAAGGTATAGTCTTAATGTTTTGTTACTGACTATAGAATGGACCTCTTGGAGAAAGCTTGAGCAGAAAAAATAAATGGCTTGCAACAAAAAAAATAAATTCCCTTTCCTTAGCAAAATGCCTCCCCTATATCAAATTGGATCACCTCGAAATAATGATTATCTGGTTTAATAAAATGTGTTCCTATACAGCGTGTTTTTTTTTGTCTCTGATACTGTGACAGATAACTGTGACATCTGTTTCCTTGCATAGTGGGAGGAGACAATTCGTTTTCAATGTTTTTAGGCTGGACGATTTGTTGCTGAGCTTATTCTTCTGAAAGAGAGAGAAAGAGAAAGACGTACCAGGAAGAGGCTCATCCTGAAAACTAAAAGAAAGGTGAGCAGATAGATAAATGTAAAGCATCTCTGGTTGACCTGTTGTATACAAGTCTGGACTTGCTTCATTTAGGAGGAGAAATTTCTACTAGTAAGTAATATGACTACTGAATATTTAACTTTTATTTTGTTCTTCAATTTCATCTTTGTTTTTGCAGAAGTTTAATTACGGATACGCCTTCAATCTATGTTGTTCGCTTGATTTTCAGATTTTAATCAATTCTGCTCCCTGCAAACAAGAGTTATATTTCCAAAGAAGTCTCATTTCTCTGCCAATTTTGCTTATCTTATTTCATTATTCCTCTTAGAATACAGCTTTAGATTTTTCTTTTTAACGGTTCTTCTCCCTTTTCCCACTTAGATTGCTGCATTTCATTCTTCCTATAGAAAAAAGAGATCCAAGAAATGAGTTCAACTATGAAATACTGGAATGCATTTGGCTTTTTCTTCATTGTTCTCAATTATAATATGACAATTGTAGGTAAGTATTTAGAAATTTGCATCTTATATTGGGTTTTAATTGTTCTCATTCTGGAAAACTTTATTCAACGTTCTGAGGAAGGAGCTGATTTGAAAACCAGACAAACCACCCTGAAATGAAATTTCTAGGAACAAAACCAATCAGGCGTTACACAAATTTATTCAAAAATGGGCTCATAAATGATGGTGTGGAAGTGAAGCTACAAAAAGTTTTGAGCCAAACTTTTATAGCAAAAGAAAATGGGTGAATTGCTCTTGCAGGACAGACTAATATTATTTTGTTATGTAATAATTAGACACAATTACTTAACAAACGAATATGATCAGAATGCTTCCTAAGGTAACTTAATCATCAACCATTTTTTCCTGAAATAGTATATAATTAATAGATTTAGTGTTGGCAAGAGCAATGGAAGAAAAAAATTGGAAGACATCAAGCAAAAGGAGGACACATCCATTTTTGTGTCCTTCTCCAGCAGGGATAGTCTTAAAATCAAGCATTGTCCAGCTGTGCTCTGAGGACAGCCAACCCCCCAGCCAATCAGAGCACAGCCAAGCCCCTAACTAATCAGAACACACCTCCACCCAATCAGAACACAGCCAAGCTCCCACCCAATCAGTTCATACCCCCACTGGCAGTTAAAAGGAAGAAACAGCTAAGACCACACATTGCTGCTCGAAGCACGAAGCTGAAAACACCAGCCTGAAGATGACGAATGGGACTTCGTCGAAACGTCGCCAAGACACTTCCAATTTTATGCGGGAGAAAACCCGAACAACCAAAGACCTACATATGTATATATATATACATATACATACATGTATATATGTGTGTTATGTGTGTGTGGTGTGTGTGTGTGTGTGTGTGTGTGTGTGTGTGTGTGTGTGTGTCTGAGGTTTTCGCGGGTATTTGTATGTAGTCTTTGGTTGTTCCCCACGTAAAATTGGAAGTGTCTTGGCCAAGACACTTCCAATTTTACGTGGGAGAAAACCCGAACAACCAAAGACCTACATATATATATATATTATATATATATATATATATATATATATACATATATATATATATATATACACATACATACATACATACATACATACATACATACATACATACATACACACACACAGAGAGAGATAAATGTACTGATATATGAGATATAAATGAGTGAGGATAATCAGATACTGATATATGAGATATAAATGAGTGAGGATAACTAGATTTATAAACGATTTGAAAACCAAATCCTACAGAAAAGTAGCTGAAGCCAGTTGAACATGTTCCGTTAGAAAACAGAACAGTAAGTGAAAATATAATATAGCAATCTTTGAAGATTAATTCAGAAGAAATGTACATATTGTCACTCTGATAAACAGGACTAGAACACTAGGTGGAAATGGCAATGAATTTGAGTGCAGCTAAATGTTAAAAGAAATTCCCTAATAATGTAAGGTTATCTCAGAAGGGTGTGCTTTATTTTCTTGATGGTATTTGAAAGTGCTAGGAAGCTATTTGTCATATTATATCCAACACCTAATATGTGGAGAGCCCCACAAGCTGTTTAGCAAGCTAGCCATTTTATTTAAAAGATTTGAAAACAGGACTAGATGTATGTATTAAAGATCAAGTTATTTACTGTAATAATTTTATAGATGTGTATTCCCAAGTGGCCCAAATTTTAATAAAGGCTCGAGTATAATGTTATGCAGTGTGAAAAAGAAAATCATATTTATGAGCACCCTTTGAAATTTGACTATTTCTACAGCTTACCAAGGCAATGGATGAGCAGTGTATGTAATCTTCCTATACATAGGACTAAAGTGTGATTACTGTTAGAAACTATTCTCAACCAGGGTAGTCAATATCCGGGTTTTAGTGACTGATCGGACTTTTTGATTGATCTCATCTCACTCTTCTTCTTTTCCAGGAAAGATTTGGCTAATCTACATGATCCTGATGAGACTGTTAGTGATCTTGTTTGGGGCATACCCTGTCTATGAAGATGAATTGGCAGCTCTCGTCTGCGATAGTGAACAGCCAGGATGCTCAAGCATGTGCTATGATGCTTTTATAACAGTCTCTCAAGTTCGGTTCTGGTTCTTTGAATTTGTGTCTGTCCTGATCCCTATTGCAGTGTTTGTTATCTGTATCTTGCATAGTATGGTGAGGCAAGTTGTGAAGATCTATTCTATCCCTTGCACTTATTGCAAACAAACCAAAATATCCACTATCTTCAGAGGTGCAGAAACAATCTTCAACGATGCAGAAAAGAGCAGAATCACTTGTGCGGCCCATGAATTGGCAATTCCTGATTTCTCACATGGATATGCAATTCACCTCTTTGTGAGGCTAATGATAGAAGTTGGTTTCAGAATTAGCAGTTATTGTTTGTTTGGTTTCTTTGTTCAGAAATTCTACAGTTGTACTGAGGAACCTTGCTCAGGTAAAATAACCTGCTTTATCCCCAGGTCAACTGAAAAGTCTGCTATGATTATCTTACTGTGGGTTGTCAGTGGCTTCTCCTTAGTTCTTGGCCTTGTTGACTTGTTTGTGGCTATAAATATTTGCAGAAATAAGCGGCGTGGAACCAGCACAGCGGAGATATGCAGGAACCGCCTGCACCAAGAAGCGGGACCAAGCAGAGATTTGTTCAATCTGAGAAGCGTTGTTGTCACTGAGGATTGTAGCAATCTTCCCCAGAAAAGCTACAAAAAGGAACGACACCCTGCAAAAGATCTCGGTTGTTGAAAGTATTCCTAAGTCTGCATTGAGCTGAGAGAAATACATGCATGTATTATCCTTTCATTTACAAGCCATATAACTTTTTGAACCATTTAACGTTTGCATATTTGAAAAGGACCTAACCCTAACCTTTTCTTCTCTTACACAGTGTTCTTCAACCTAGGCAACTTAAAGAAATGTAAACTTTACATTTCTCCAGCCAGGCACCCTTCCCCTTCAGACTATTAAAAATAAAAAATAAAGATTGCCCCATCCAGTATAGGTAACTGATTTTTGGAAAAGCTCACAGGGATGCAGAGGTAAATAATGAAAGTCTTGACTTCTGAAACCATGATCATATCTTGGAGCACCTATATAAACTTTTTACTTAGTCAAGATACAGAGTGAGACAGAACAGTCCAAAAACTTTATGATAAAATAAATGCAACGTTTTAAAGAAACAGTTGCCACACAACAATGAGAAAAAATATGGCATGGTAAATAAGATATACATCAAGTTATAATTTAAAGTAAAATAGGTACAACATATCCTACAGATGGTATCAATAATATTTAAGATAAACAGTTTATACAGTAATAAATTTTGGAAGTGCCATGAAACAGAAGGATTCTTTGTGATAGAGATGTAAAAAACCCGCAAAGCACTTGAAAGTATACTATAATGCAGAATTTAATTTGGAATTTAATTTAATTTAATTTGGAATTTAATTTGAAATTTAATTTGAAATGAAACTACTTCTTAATAGTTATAATTTCACAAAAAATTAGAAACTTAATAATATAATGAGATATATGCTTATAGCAGCAAAAGTAAATTTTGCTTAACATTGGAAAAAATTTACAATTCTGACCATATCTGACTAGGAACTTGGAAAACATGCAGCAATGGCAAATAAACCAAATTTAAGCAAGAATGCATACAATATATCATACTGTGTGGCAAATACAATCATAGTCTGCCATCTAAGGAGGTTTAAAATCAACAATTTGGTTCATTAGCTGATCTACAAAAGAGGGAAATTAGAAAACCAGTAGTTCTTTTTCTTTTAATTTCTCCTTTTTAAGATTACTTTTTGATATTTTAATTCTTCTTATATTAATTCTGTTTGTCAATTTTTTTGTTAACATGCACAGATAAACATGTCTACATGCATCTATATCTATAACATAGATGTTCAGATAAAGTTTGAAACCTTTAACACACAAATACTTTGATAAACCTGCAGACAGATTAAGTTGCTTTTTTCACATTTTTTTCTTTTATTAACATGCGCACACATATGTATGAATATGTGTGTGTGTTTATATCCACATCTATATCTACATATAAAACATTACAAGATAGACATAATACTCAGCTCAAGTTTGAAACCTTTATTGCACAATAAATACTGTGATGCAACTTGTGGACAGATTAAATTTCATTTGCTGATCATATTTTTTGTTTTCATTAACACACACATACATATGTATGTATGTGTCTCTATATCCATATCTATATTACATAGAAAACATTACAATAGAGGTTTCAATACTAAGAACTAGCTTAAGGTTAGAACTTTATTACTCAATAAATACTCTGGTAGGAGTTTTTTGCTTATTGCTATATTCCACTTCATGTGAAAAAGTCAAATGATTATATCAAATGATAACATCAGTATCATAAATTGTAATCCATACTGTACAACTACTACTTTCTTTTCATTATCTATAATGTTCAAAGTTATCTAAACAATAGAACATTATTAATACCAATTAATACTACACTAATATCATTGTATCAAGTCAACATAATGTACTATCATTTTCAATAATAATAATAAAATACTTGCAAAAATATTCAGTCTCTGTCTGTCTCTCTCTCTATGGGAAAACAAGAAGGGAGCTGAGTGATCATAGTCTTTTTTTTTTTTTTAGAAGAATGCTTTTCAACCTTGGCAACTTGAATATATGTGGATTTCATTCCCAAAATTCTTCAAGGTGCTATATGAAGAATTATGGGAGATGATGTTCACACATCTTTAGGTAGTTAAGATTAAAAAATACTGTCTTAGATTATTGGAGAGGAAGGTCTGATCAAGGAGTCATCTCCATGTCACCTGTATCATTAGCTATCAACACCTTCATATGCTTTGTTTAAGAAGAATCCCCTATTAGGTAGAGACCTCTGAGTCTCACATGAGTGAAGAGTTGAATAACGGAAGTCTTGTTTTCCTTGGGTGATGAAAAGAAAAAATTTAGGTGCATCTATTATGCTTAGCCTGTGATTGTGATAGAAGTACAAATGTTAAGACCTCTAAATCAGACAAAAGCTTTCACGCAGGTATCTTCAAACAATTCTATCTCAAAATAAATATATTTTTTTTAAATCAGCATTTAAGGGGAAATGCGACAAGGACATTACTAATGACTTATTTCTTTTGACATACACATCTGTTCCTGGAGAGATTTGCAGTAGTTGGTTTTGTGCATGTCTGGACTAGTAAAAATTAATCAGAGGTTTCTGGGCATTATGTTTTACAAACACTGGTCAAAAACTCATAAAAATATTGTTCAGGTTAATTATATAGAATTAATTATAAGTCCATAAATTGGTAAGCATTGCGTGAGAGTTTTACCATGGCCAAATAGTTTTTTTACAAAGGGGAATGATAGTCTGTCGTTTGGATTCATAAATCATTAAAATATGTACATATATGAAATGTGGAATATAAATACTTCAAATATATCTTAATCATGAAAAAAAAAATTCCCACCATACTTTACATCAGGGGTAGTCAACCTTGGCTCTTTTATGACTCGTGGACTTCAATTCCCAGAACTGAATTCTGGGAGTTGAAGTCCACGAATCATAAAAGAGCCAAGGTTGACTACCCCTGCTTTACATCTTTAAAAGGTAGGCATTTCTGGGTCTCTCTCCAAGAATGACCAGGGAAATAAATGTGTGATTCAGCTGGACTCCATAAGAGTTGTGAAAATTGTGGTAAAAAAGAGACAGTTCTCACTGGAGTTTTAAATAATGAACGTCTTAATGAATTACTGAACCATGTTCCAATATTCTGCATGCTATTTAAAATGGCTTTATAAATGTAGTACTTAATATTTCAACATTATTTAAACCATATCACTGGAAATCTGTTTCTTACGACAGCTCAGTATCATTTACTTCTTCTATATCGGAGTCAACCCTGTGCAATATTTTTCTTCTCATTTCCATCTTCCGTACTCTTAGTTTCAGTTCAGTAAATCTGAGTTTTATTCCATTTCCATATTGCTACTGAGAGGCTGGCGTTAGCCCACAAAAGGGAATACTGCTCTCTAGAGGATTTGGAAGACTTTGTGGGTTGAAAAATATGCAGATACACTGGAAGGCTGCAGTGGAAGACATAGTTCAGAATTAACTAAAAGTCAGAATTGCTTTGTAATGAGTTCCCATAAGGAAATTTACCAAAGCAACACTCACCACAGCCCTCTCAGTATTTCAGAGAATTTCACGGCCTGTATGGAAGGATCTTTTCAACATTAAAAAACCCACTGAACTCCTGGTTGCTTTCTTAATATGGGCTGGAAACTTCACAGTGCCTCAATTTTCAGCTTTTTATCCTTTAAAGTTTTAAGTGCCATGAAAACTTAAATAGGTACTGCATATCGCTGGATCTAGACAGGACAGAGGTATCTGTGAGGTAGGAAACCATCAAAACAGTCAGGATGGTGTCTTTGAGATACTGTCCTTTTGGATCCACATATGGGTTCTGATCATATACATATGCATTTTAGTTAGCTGGTGACAGCTGTCTTTTTACACATGCACACACACACACACACACACAAACCCACACAGAGGATATTAACGAAACTCAGTATTTTATACCTTTGGCTTTTCAATTGTTCAGTATTTGCATTTTTCTGTTTTCCTGAACAACTGGAGTGATTCAGTTAACAACTAAGGCAAGAAAGGCTGTAAAATGGGGCAAAATGTGTAACAACTGCCTTGCTTACTAACAATTGTGGTTGTAAATCGAAACTAAGTTAAGTACAAATGGGCTTTGGTTGGGTGGACACAGCTATCTTCTTGACTTCTCTTTTTTTTATCTCTCACAAACACAAACACAAAAAACACACAGAAGATATTAACAAACCTCAGTATTTTATAAGTATAGCCCTTCAGTTGTTCCGTGTTTACATTTTCCTGTTTTGCTGAATAACAGCAAAAATACAGCAAGAGAAAGCTAAAGTGGTAGAACACATTATGCAATCATACAATAAAACAGTTGGAAAGGACCTTGGAGGTCTTCTAGTCCAACTTCCTGCTCAAGCAGGAGATCCTATCTATTCTGGAAAAATGGCCATCCAGACTCTTATTGATAAGCTCCAGTAAAGGAATATGCATTTCTTCTGGTGATGAGCCATTCCATTTATTAATTATTCTCACTATCAGGAAATTTCTCCTTAATTCTAGGTTGGATCTGTCCTTAATAATCTTCCATCTTCCTTAGGTACTTTGGAGAATAGAATATAATAGAATAGAATAGAAGCTGGAAGGGACCTTGGAGGTCTTCTAGTCCAGCTCCCTGCTCAAGCAGGAGAACCTATACAGTGGTGGGATTCAAATATGTGAACAACCAGTTCTCACTTAATTCCAGGTTGCTTCTCTCTTTGATCAGTTTCCAACCATTGTTTCTTGTCCTACCTTCTGGTGCTTTGGTGAATAACGTGACCCCCTCTTCTTTGGGGCAGCCCCTCCAATACTGGAACACTGCTATCATGTCTCCCCTATTTCTTCTTTTCTTTAGACTAGTCAAACCAAGTCCTGCAACTGTTCTTCATATGTTTTAGTCTCCAGGCCTTTGATCATCTTAATTGCTCTTTGAATTTTTTCGAAACTCTCAACATCTTTTTTATGATATGGTGACCAAAATTGTCTGAATATTCCAGGTGGGGTCTTACTAGGATTTTATAAAGTGGTTCTAATACTTCACTTGATCTTGATTCTATGCCTCTGTTTATACAACCCAGGATTGTATTAGTTTTTTTGTCTGCTGCTGCACACTGCTGGCTCATGGTCAAATGATCGTCCACTACAACTCCAAGGTCCCTCTCATAGTTACTGTTTTTAAGCCAGGTCTTGCCCAATCTGTACTTGTACCTTTGATTTTTCCTGTCTAAATGTAAAACTTTGCTTTTCTCCACATTGAAACTAATTTTGTTGGATAGGGCCCATTGGTCAAGTTTGTCAAGATCTTTTTGGATCCTTAGTTGGTCTTCTGGGATGTTGGTTATTCCTGTCAGTTTGGTGTCAACTGCAAATTTGATGAGTTCCCTATCTTGAGTTTGGTTTGCCAGCCAGCTACAAATCCATCTAGTGGCGATGTTGTCTATTCCACCTTTTTCTAACTTACCAAGGGGTAGGTTGTGGTCTACTTTATCAAGTGCCTTACTGAAATCTAAGTATACTACGTCCACAGTATTTTACTGGTCTATTAGTTTAGTCATTTTTTCAAAGAATGAAATAAGATTGGTTTGGCATAATTTGGTTTTAACAAACCTGTGCTGGCTACTAGTTATAACTTTGTTGCTTCTAGTTGTTTGAAGATCTTTTTTTTTTTCTAGGATCTTCCCAGTTATTGATGTTAAACTGATTGGTCTGTAGTTTCCTGGGTCCATTTTTTCCCCTTTCTTAAAGATGGGAACCACATCAGCCCTTTTCCAATCCTTAGGTACTTCCCCTGTGCTCCAGGATTTTTGTTATTAGTGGTTCTGATAACATCTGCCAGTTCCTTCAGAACTCTGAGATGTAATCTGTCAGGCACCAATGATTTATATTAATCGAGGTCGGATAGGTGTTCTCTTACCATTTTATTGTTTATTTTAATTTTTATTTCTAATTTGTCTTTGCAGTGTTTTTTTGTTACGTTGGGCTATGGTTTCTTTTTATGTGAAGACTGATATAAAATAGGAGTTAAGCAACTCTGCTTTCTCCATGTTGCCTGTTATTTCCTTGCCACTTTCTCCCTTTAGTGGACCTACAGTTTTCTTGACTTTTTTCTTGTTGTTAATATGTTGGAAGCAACTTTGGTAATGTCATTTTTTTTCTCTTTTATATTAAACCATATGCATTCTGGAGAGATTTTATCTTTGATCATGTGCATTTCTATAGATATGTAATGTTCTCTTACATATAGTGCAACTCCCCTGCTTCTTTTTATAGACCTGTTTCTTTTGAACAATTGGAACCATCCATCGGTCCATTCCATTTGTAGGTTTTGTCCCACCAGGTTTCTGTGATACCAATTATGTCATACCCTCCCTTGTGTATTATTGCTTCTAGTTTGCCCTGTTTGTTTCCCAAAATTTGAGTGTTTGTATATAAGCATTTAAGGCTTTTGTGCCTGTGCGTGGGTATGTTTCCTACACCTCCTGAATGTTGCTTGAGTTTTTTTTTTTCATCTCTGCCCACCTCATTGTTTGATTTGTTTTCTTGGGATTTATGATTGGTTTTGGGTTCTAGAGATTCTGAAGATTGGTTACCTGTCCCCCTCAATTTTAGTTTAAAACCCTCCTGATGAGTTGGGCCAGTCTTTTTCCGAGTACATTTTTCCCTGTTTTCATGAGGTGCAGCCCATCCCTTGCCAAGAGTCCTTCGGATAGGAAATGCAGTCCGTGATCCAGGCAATCAAAGTTTTCTTCACAACACCAACCCTTTAGCCAGTGGTTTATTTCTAGAATTCTTTTTTTCCTCAATGGGTGTTGGCCTTTTTTTGGGAGTACTGATGAGAACACTACTTATGCTCTTAGCTTCTTAACTTTATTGCCTAGTTGTTTGTAGTCACTCACCCCTTAACTGCTGGAAGACTGCTATCATGTCATTCCCCCATCTTTCTCTCTCATAGACTGAATATACTTTTTCATAGTTCTCACATTATACTCTAGAATTACATCCTCATGTTGCATCCTTTAATCCTTGTTTATCTCCCTTACAAGTGTGGTATCAAAATCCTGCAGATTCTTTCCCTTCCTTCCTTCCTTCCTTCCTTCCTTCCTTCCTTCCTTCCTTCCTTCCTTCCTTCCTCCCTCCCTCCCTCCCTCCCTCCCTTTCTCCCTCCCTCCCTCCAATATTCTGGTTGACATTCTTGATTTTAATTTCTTGCATTGTTCCAGAGGAATATTTCTTTGTTTGGTACCTTGTGGGAAATTAAAACTGACAGTCCCGTCCAATTAAAGAAACTGTAATCGTGCTGTAATTCTGGGATATCCACATCATAAATAAAAAAATGGGTGGAGTTTTAATTACACTATTGTCACTGCCATTTTGACTTTTTTGACCATATCTCTATTGTAACCTCTCCAATTCACTAGGGGAAAACCAGATTTACTTGCCAAGGAAAGGAGATCTTAAAAACATGCATTTTTAGTAGGAACTTTATCTACAACAAGCTGACCCAAATTTAATGCATCTCTTACTCCAGCCCTACTTCTACTACCCTATGAAGGCTGAATGGTGGCAATGGAAACCTAAAGACATACAGAATGAAGGAGCCAAAATATTTCTGTATATTATAAGAAAAAAATGCTGGTGCTGATCCCAGGACTACATTAGTAATCATGGATATGCTGCATTTTGTTCTTACCCTCATCTTGAGAAAACTTTTTTTTTAAAAAAAATACTTTTTATGTCTGTAAGTGAACTTTTATTAAATACTTAGCTTTGTCTTATTCCTGAGCAAGTGAACTTTTATTAAATACTTAGCTTTGTCTTATTCCTGAGCAATCTTATCTCTTTACAGTGGGCTGACTGAATGTGAAGGAGCAAAAAGGTTGTTTTCATATTTTAAACATCCTTGGAATAACTGTGACCTTCAGTGCAAAGACAGTAAAAATAAATATGCTTCCCCAAATGCTAGCCTTCATGGGTGATTTTTCCACCCCCCCAATATTGTTGCTACTAGTTCCAATAGTTCTATATACTGTTTTGATCTATTATGCCTTATTCTATTAAATTAATTGGTTTTGGAAGTTGGTCAAAACACCACCTTAACAAAGAAGAGGATTAAATGAGGAGGTGAAGGGAGTTTGAAATATCTAAAAAGGACAAAAAATAAGAGTATAATTATCTGTTGAAAAGAAGGCTGCAAGTCATTCACATATTTCTTAACTTTAATTTTTTTCACTGCTTTTTATTGCTTGCGATTTTCCCTCTCTCTTTCTCTTTACTTTCAATTTGTCGTTCATTCTATAAAAAAAATTCTTAATAAATATTTTTTTAAAAAGATAGTCAAAATACACAAAGTTCATCTGAAAAGGAAGCAGTACCATTGATCCTAAAATCAAGATGCTATTGGTTGAAAAATAGTATCAGGATAAATATTAGAAAAAGGCCATTGGGCCTCTTAGTTCAGGGCTTTTCAACCTTTTCACCCATTGTACCACTTTTACAACATTACAACATCCGAGTCCCACCAGTCGCCTAGCAAGATGTCAAAAACTTGATGACCCCCCCAAAAAAAGGAAAAAAGTGATAAAATACAGGTAGTCCTCGACTTACAACAGTTCACTTAGTGATTGTTCAAAGTTACAATGGCACTGAAAAAAGTATCCCCCAAGCCACAGCTGAGCAAGACGCCTACCCGCCTGCCTGGTGGCGCTCTTCCTCCTGTCCGACGTTTTCATTGTTGTGAGCATTTCTGTTGAGGATTGGCAGCAGGAATGGGGTAGGGGGTTTGGTTTTTATTCCCCTTGTCTTCTGGGTGGTTGCAGCAGGTTTTGGTCACTTCACATGACCCTGAGACACTGTGACCATCATAAATATGAATCAGTTGCCAAGCATCTGAATGTAAATCACAAGACTCTGGAGCTGCTGCAACATTCCAGCTGATTGGCGCTTCTGGGCTCAGCAGAAGCACCAGGTTCAGCGCCGAGCTCCAGCTGGAGTCTGGCACTGATCCTGGTGCTTCCTCTGAGCCCTGACAGTCCTGCAGCTCCAGCCATCTCTCGCTCAGGCTTGTGCGGTGCTGTCACCGGTTCAACTCATTCCCCTCCCCTGCTACTACTTTTCTAAGGATGGTCGCATACCACCTGCCAGCTGCCAATGTACCACAGGTGGTACCCGTACCACTGGTTGAAAAGCCCTGTCTTAATTGAACCAGGCAGGATGCACACTAAGAGGATAATTCATAAGCCATCCTGTGGCATTTGATATATATGAAATATTCATTATTTCCTAGAAGAAATGATCTCTCTGAAAATGCAAAGCTCTGAGCCCTTAAGGATATTCAGATGGGAGACATATTTCTGAAGTTGCTACAGATGCACACTCTGTCAGAAGGTACCCCATCTTTGTTACTTCTTTGTACAGAACTTGCTAAGATATGAGTCAGTTAAACTCAGAAAAGATTTAAAAAGACAAATTCTGCACAGGCAGAAGGACACAGACTTTGGGATGGATGCTGAGGAAGAGAAGCACTCCCTTTAGCTCTCATATTGCTGTTCCTCCAGATAAGACCTATGTGCAAATTGGCACTTGGACAAGGAGGGACACATCTACTTTGCAAATAAAATTTTCCATCTAATACCTAACCATATAGCACTTCGACTTTATTGCCATTCATTTGTTTTCTATTGTTCTTCCTGTTAACTCTTAGGGAGTTAATGGAATGGCCTTGGCCAAGGCCCATCTTAAGGTTTTGTTATTGAACTATAGGAAAAGAATAACTGCAGATACATTGATGGGGGTCTTGGAGACTGCTTGAGTAGAAAAAAATAAATGGCTTGCAATAAAGAAGTAAAAGATTCCCTTTTCCAGGCAAGTTACCTCCCCTGTATCAAATTGGATCATCCCCAAATAACTATCTGTGGTTTACTGAAATGTGTTTACATGTAGCGCTTTTTTTCTCTGAAAACAACAGATAAGTATGACATCTGCTTCCTTCCATGGTGGGAGGAACAATTGGCTTTCACTGTTTTCTACTTGTTGCTGAGATTCTCTGCCTCAGAAGGAGACAGACCTTTCTGCTCTCAACTCATCCTGAAAAATAAAAGCGGAGCAGATAGATGAACCTAAAGCCTTTCTGGCTGGCTGATTACAGGTGGATTTGCAACATTCAGGAAGAGAAATTTCTCCTAGTAAGTAATATGATTGCTAAATGTTTAGCTTTTGCTTTGTTCTTCAATTTTATGTATCTTTTGGGGTTCTTTTTTTTCAGAAGTTTCTTTGACCTCCAAGGTCCCTTCCAACATTATTATTATTATTATTATTAAAATTCCTGAAATCAAATGTATTTTTTCAGATTTTAATTAATTCTGCTATCTGTAAGGAAGAGCTATATTTCCCTAAGAAATCTCAATTCTCTGCCAGTTTTGCTTACCTTATTTCATTATTCCTCTTAAAAGACATCTTTAGATTTTTTTTTCTTTTAAATCTTTCTTCTCCCTATTTTCATTTAGGTTGCTGCACTTCATTCTTCTTGTAGAAAAAAGAAATGAGTTCAACTATGAAATACTGGAATGCATTTGGCTTTTCTTTCCTTGTTATCAATTATAATGTGACCATTATAGGTAAGTATTTATACATTTGCATTTTAGATTTGGATTTTAATTATTTTCCTTCATTTAACATTTAACCCTCCCTAAAATGAAATTCCCAGGAACAAAACCAATCAGATTTTACACACATTTTCTCAAAAATTGGGCTCATAAATGATGGTGTGGAAATGAAGCTGCAAAAAGTTCTGAATCAAACTTTTATAGCAAAAGAAAATGGGTGCATTAGTCTTATAGGACAGACTAATATTATTCTGAAATACTGGAATGCATTTGGCTTTCCCTTCCTTGTTATCAATTATAATGCGACCATTATAGGTAACTATTTATACATTTGCATTTTAGATTTGGATTTTAATTATGTTCTTTCATTTAACATTTAACCCCCCTGAAATGAAATTTCCAGGAACAAAACCAATCAGACTTTACACACATTTTCCCAAAAATTGGGCTCATAAATGATGGTGTGGAAATAAAGCTGCAAAAAGTTCTGAATCAAACTTTTATAGCAAAAGAAAATGGGTAAGGACAGACTAATATTATTCTGTTAAGAAATAATTTAGAAATTAGACATTATTTACACACAGTTTCCCCAAAATGGGCTCATAAATGACGAGTGGAAGTGAAGCTGCAAAGTGTGTTTGCCTTTTTGAGCAGAATTTTTATTTAATGCATGCAGAGACAATAGCAAAAGTAAATTGGTGAAGGCATTGCAGGACAGACTAATATTATTCTGTTAGTGAATAATAAAAAACAACTCATTACAAATAAATATGATCAGAACTAGCATTTGGCAAGTGCAGTGGAAGAGAAAAATTATAAGGCATCAGGCAAAAGGAGGGCATATCCACCTTTGTGTCCTTGTCCTTGTACAGCAGGGATAGCCTCAATATCAAATATTGTCCAGCTGTCTTAAAAAAATGAGACTGTTTTCATAACATCACTGAAACATTCGTATATTGTGACCTTGTATAGTGTCTGCTTCTTTATTTCCCTTGTCTGTTGGCAGACTCAACAGTCTAGATTTACATTATTTAACTTATTTCCCGATTCCATCAACTGGCTTCAGTCTGTCCTGTTAAATTCATGATCATTTTAGCCCGTGGATCACATGAGTCATTCTGTGTTTTATGGCAAAGCTTGAAAAACACATTGGCAGTTCTGTATTATACCCAACATTTGTTCTTGAAAATAAAGATTTGTTGGGGGGGGGGGGAATTGAGAATTAAAAAACAAACTTTCTGATGTTGGAAAAAATAGAAAGAATCTATTATGGCTTTTTTTCTAGTATTTATCTGTTTACTACCCAGTCTATTCTATAATACTTAGACTTAGAATTTCCTTGTTCCTCTTTTATAATGTTATATCATGTGAAATATGTTTTTATGAATATGCCCTGATTACTTTAACTATTTATTCTGTTTTTCAGCTCAGCAATGGAATGAGACAACTCATCATGGCCAATTTTCTGAGGTCAACTCAACACGGCCCACTCACTATGGGACAACTTGCCAAGTCAATTTGCCATAGGACAACTCATAGCGGGGCAATATAACAATTCAATTTATTTAAAATAAATTTAAAAATATTTTAATTTTAATTCACATTTCATTTTGTCCTCTTTTTTTTGCATCCTTTCTTTAATGGTCCTATTCCACCATTTCTTTGATATTAGTGTAACTCTTGACCCACAGCAAGTTGTCCCGTGACGAGATGGCCATGGTGAGTTGTTCCATGGTAAGTTGGCCACAGCAAGTTGGCTGTGGTGAGTTGTCCATGTTGAGTTGCCATAGACAATTGCTCAGCCATGCAGTTGATGAGAAGCGTTATCTAACTGTGTAATCAATCAGCATGGCTACTGGTTAGAAATTATTCTCAACCAGGCTAGTCAACGTGCAGGGGTTTTAATGATTGATTCGACATTTTTCATATGTCTTATCTCACCCTTCTTCTTTTCTAGGAAAGATTTGGCTAATCTACATCATTCTGATGAAGCTCATGCTGATATCGCTCGGGGCATATCCTCTCTATGAAGATGAATTGGCAGCTTTTGTCTGCAATACCAACCAGCCAGGATGCCCAAGCATGTGCTACGATGCTTTTACAGCAGTCTCTCAAGTTCGGTTCTGGTTGTTTGAGTTGTTGTCTGCCTTGCTCCCTTTTGCAGTGTTTGTTATCTGCATCTTGCACAGTGCGGTCAAGCAAGTTGTGGAGGTCTATTCTCTCCCTTGCACTTTTTGCAAACAGATCAAAGCATCCATTGGTCTTAGAGTTACCGAAACTTCCTTTGGTGAGCCAACAAAAAGTAAAATCACTTGTGGGGCCCATGAATTGGTAATTCCTGATTTTTCACGAGCATATGCAATTCAACTGCTCATGAGAATAATGATAGAAGTTGGCTTTGGAATTAGTAGTTACCATTTGTTTGGCTTCATTGTTGACAAATTCTATAATTGTACTGAGGAAATTTGTCCAAGTAATATAACCTGCTACGTCCCCAGATCCACTGAAAAATCTGCCATGATTATCTTACTGTGGGTTGTCAGTTGTTTCTCCCTATTTCTTGGCCTTGTTGACATGATTATGGTTATAAAAGAGTGTAGAAATAGGCTGTGTGTCTCCAACAAGTCAAAGATATGCAGGACTCGCCGGCACCAAAGAGAGAGAGGAAGCAGAGATTTATTCAACTTTGATGACATTGAGGATTGTACAAGTATTCCCATGAAAAGATATAAAAAAGAAAGATACTGTTCAAAAGATTTTGCTTTTTAAATCTATCCTAAGTCTGCATTGAGCTGAGGGAAAACTATGCATGTATTATCTTTTCATTTACAAACCATATAACTTTATGTACCATTTAATGCTTGCATATTTGGAGAAAGAAAGGGAGCTGAAGATCACAACCCTTCCTTCTCTTAAACAGTGTTCTTCAACCTAGGCAACTTAAAGATGTGTAAAATTCACATTTCTCCAGCCAGTCATCCTTCCCATTCAGACTATTTTTTAAAGAAGATTGCCCCATCCAGTATAGGCAGCTGAGTTTTGGAAAAGCTCACAGGGATGGAGAGGTAAATAATGAATGTCCTGACTTCTGAAACCAGCATCATCTCTGGGGGCACCTATATAAACTTTTACTTAGGATACAGACTAGTCCAAAAAACTTTATGATAAAATAGATGAAACGTTTTAAAAAACAGTGGGAAAAAATTATGTCTGTAAGATTTACATCATTTATATGACAAAAAATTAGAAACTTTATAACATAATGAGATATTTGCTTACAGCAGCAAAAATGAATTTTGCTTAACACTGGAACAAATAAAATTCTGGTCATGTCTGAGTAGGAACTTAAATTTGGAGAACATGCAGCAATCACAAAATTAATGGAATATATGCCTAAAGGAAGTTTAACCAAATTTAAGTAAGAATGGTCCCAAACATACAATATATCATGCTGCATGGCAAATCCAATCACAGTCTGTCATCTAAGGAGGCTTAAAATCAACAATTTTGTACATTAGCAGATATGGATAATGGGGAATATTAGAAACCCAATTAGTTCTTTTCCCTTTTCCTTCCCCCTTTTCATAATTATTGCATGCTTATGATATATTTTACCTATATTAACATGAACTTATATACATCTCTCTCTGTGTCTATATATATATATATATAGCTAAAATATTACACTATATATTTCAATACTCAGCTCATGTTTATATGCTTTGATATAACCTGCAGATAGATTAAATTTCTTTTGCTTACAGTATTTCTTTTTATTATCATGCATATATAACTATATATCCATACCTATATCTACATATAAAACATTACAATACAGACTTCAATAGTTTGAAGTTTGAAACTTTTATTGCATAACAAATACTTTGATATAACCTGCATATAGATTAAATTGATTTTGTTTATTGTATTTTTATTTTAATATATATATATATATGGATATATATATATATATATATATATATATATATATATATATATATCACACATAAAACATTTCAATTCAAAGCAACTAATTCAAAGGTTAGAGCATTTATTGCTCAATAAATTCTAGAGCAAGTTTTTTTTCTTAATTTTTTTTCTTAATTTTTTCTTAATATTATACTCTACTTCATATGAAAAAGTCAAATGATTATATTCTTGTAACATCAATATCATAAATTGTAATGCACACTGTACAACTATTTCATTCTTTTTATTCTGTCTAATGCTCAAAGTTATCTGAATAATAGAATATCATTAATATATCAATACTGTACTAATATTGTATCAAGACAATAAAATGTATAACCATTTACAAAAAAATAATAAAATACTTCAAAAATATTCAGAGTGGCTCTCTTTATGGGAAAAAAAGGAGCTGGAGGATCACAGTAATCACCTCTTCAAGGACACATATGTAGATATCCATCAGCACCTCCAGAAGCTTTGCTTAAGAAGATTTGCCTATCCAGTTGGGGCATCTGAGTTTTGGAAAAACAAGAATGGAGAGGTAAATCTTGCCTTGCCTTGGGTGATGAAAAGGAAAGGTTGAGATGAGGAACCAAGTTGCATCTATCATGCTTAGCCTGTGATTCAGGACTCCAAATGTTTAAACTCTAAATCAGATAAAAATATTTCTGCAGGTATCTTCAAACAATTCTATCTAAAAAATAATAATTTTTCTGTTTCAGGAAAAGAGGCATTGAGACGAAGCAACGAGTTCCAACAGTTCTTCTTTATTGCAAAGACCAACAGAACAGATTTTAAAATGGTGCGTCCCCCTTTTATAGCCCCCCTGCACAATACCTTGCTGGCCAATCATTGCAAAGGATCTTTTCCCACCGTGTGTGTGCACGCAAGGCTGGGAGCAGCCTTTCTTGTCCCAGGCATCCACATGGTCTGCCCAGGCCAATCGCTACAGCCTATGCCTGTCGGCCCAGGACATAACACCCCTCCCCCTTGGCTAAAATAAAAAGGCACGCTTATTATTTTAAATACTCCAACACTCCATTGCATTGCTTACGTTGCATCTATATATACACAACACTACAGTCTTGCTACCGCTATGCTCCCACTCCCCTTGAGCTACATTACTTAACCCAGACTACTAGGCCTGCCAATGAACTGACAAGAACCGTACATAGTCTTACAAGTATTTGGGAGGACCTCTGGCCCGCCCTGATCTTCTCATGGCTGGTGTGTGTGCCTGGCCTGCCAGCTTGCCTGCCAGGCTAAGCAGACCAGGACTTTGTTGCCCCAAAGACCCAGGGGACCCACCCAGCTGCTGACTGGCTGGATCTGCTAAATCCAAGCCAGGGTTCCTTGGGGGGGGGTGGAATTCCCCAAGTCCACAATGGACTCCTCTTGGGAGCACTGTCCCTTGAGCCCTAGGCCAGCAACTGGAGTAGCCTGAGTGCCAGAGGCTGGAGCTGCCTCCATGGCGAACCCCCTTTCTGCAGACTCCCTGTTTGGAGCAATAGCTGAAGCCTGCGGATGTTGGAGAGACTGTGGTTCCCAATCGTAATTGTGGTCCTCCTCCCCCCCAAGAGCCGAGCCAGGAACGGAAGAGTTGCTGGGAAGCCTCCAGCGCAGTTGGTCAATGTGACGTCGGATCACATGACTATCGTCTAAGGCCACTTCGCATGACAGTGGCCCAGAGACCTTGCATACCACTGCTGTGACTCAGAGATGTCCTAGTCCATAGTTCCTTGCCCAGACCGGATTGCCCACTTGTAGTCTCCTAGGTGCCCGTGGCTGTGACACCTGTGAAGCCACCCGGTCTGGGTGCAATCTGTCCAGTTTTGTGATGAGGCGGTGACCCCAGTGGAGTTCAGCTGGGCTCTTTCCAGTAGTTGTGCAAGGTGTACAGAGACTGCAGGACTCTAGTCCACAATGAGGTTGGGATTACTACCCAGCTACCCCATAGGACACACCCTTTGAAGGTGGAAATCTCATGCTTCCTCTGCCAGAAGCTCTGGAATTCTGAGCCTGGACATGTGTCAGGCCATCCAGACAACACCCAAGTCAGCATGCGTGTTAGCATGTGATCGGTGGCTGTTTCTGCAGCCACATCCCTAGCACTGAGGGGAGATTCAGGCAAGTCCTGAATAGACAGGATGAGATTGGCAGGTGCTGGATCTGCCTCTATCTGCTGTAATGGCAACCTGCTGCGACCATCTGCACAACCCATTTCTTTGCCTGGCTTGTGAACCAGTGTATGGTCATATGCAGACAGGAAGATAGACCACCTCAGCATTCATGGAGATATTATGTGTGGGGTTTGTTCGTTGTGAACAACCCCAGCAGCGGCTTATGGTCTGTAAAGACCATGAAGTGGCAGCCATATACGAAGTCATGGAACTTCTTTATGCCAGCCACTATGGCTAAGGCTTCCCTATCTATCTGTGCATAATTGCGTTCAGCTGATGATAGGGTTCTAGAATAGTATGCTATTGGGACTTGCGTTCCATCAGCCTTCAAGTGACTTAACACAGCCCCAATCCCATAAGGGGACACATCACAGGCGATGCACACTGGCAAGTTCTCATTGAAGTGCGCGAGGACTGCATTTGAAGAGAGCAACACCTCTTTGAAGCTCTTTTCATGTGCTTGTGTCCACTGCCAAGGGGCCTGTTTGTCCAAGAGCCAGTGTAACGGCTCAGCCACTGCAGCTTTGTGAGGAAGGAATGAGTGGTAAAAATTTAACAGTCCTAGAAAGGCCTGAAGTTCGTCCTTGGATTTAGAGCTTGGGGCCTGCTGAATTGCTTGCAGCTTGGATTCAGCAGGGTGGATGCCCTGAGCATCAATGTGAAATCCTAGAAACTCTGTGGAGGTAACCCCGATTTTGCACTTGTCTTGCTTAAGCTTCAGCCCCACTTGGCGGAAACATAGCAAAACAGCTCTCAGTCTTTCGGCTAAATTGTCAATTGAGTTCCCAGTGATGAGGACATCATCAAAGTATGGGCAAACGCCAGGGATATTTCGGAGCGTTCGCTCCATTACACTCTGGAAGATGCCGGGGCCCACATTTACTCCAAATTGCAATCTTTTTATCTTGAATGCCCCCCTGTGAGTCACTATATTTTGAACCTTGGCCGTTTCCTCATCAGCTGGCAATTGTTGATAGGCCTGAGCCAGGTCAAGCTTAGCAAAGATCTGGCCCCCCCTTGAGGGAGGCTAGAATGTGACTGACCACTGGTACTGGGTATGAATGCTGCTGCAGCGCTTTGTTAAGCATGCACTTGTAGTCCGCACAGATTCAGACTTCACCATTGGCCTTCAGTGGCACAACTATGGGCGTTTCCCATGGACTACTGTCCACAGGCTCTAAGAAACCCTGCTGAATCAGTTTATCCAGCTCTGCATCTATTTTTCCCTTTAAGGCAAAGGGCACCCTGCGTGGCTTGATTCTAATGGGGGCTATGGCTGGGTCTAGCCTCAGAGAAATATGAGGGCCTTTGTAGGAGCCAAGTTCTGGACTAAACACAGCTGCAAACTCCTTGCAGACCCCAGCCAGGCCTGTTGTTTGCACGCTGTGTATTTCAGTCACCTGAATTCCCAGGGCCTCAAACCAGTCGAGTCCAATGAGACTCGTACGATCTCCTCTAACCACAACTACATCCTACGCTGCACCTCACGTTGACTCTGGAATTTTGGAAATCTGTGAGGATGAGGTTTGACGGTCTGAGTTTCACCCGTAAGCTGCTTCTGCTGCAGACCTTGTTAAAGGTGTCTAGGGAGATGATCGATAGAACAGATCCAGTGTCCAGCTCCATCTACAAGGGGACCCCTTGCAACTTCATGTCAATGTGAAGCTTCTTCCTAAGTGGCCTGTGGACCTCCATTCTAAAAACGCTCCTATGTGATGTGCAGAAGCCCACCCTGTTTTGGCTGGGGACTCTGGTACCTTTCTGAGGCAATTCTTCTGGGTAACGTTCCTTCTGGTGACCCAAACAGATGGCGGCAATGTGACCTTGCCTCCCACAGGCCCTGCAGATGGTGGAGTGGAAACAGCAGTCTGTGCAGCGATGGTGGCCTCCACACCCGATGCACCGAGGGGATGATGCTGGCTGAGCCTTCCCTTCATGAGGCCTTCTCCCTGGAGTCTGATGCAGCCGGTCCACTTCCAATTCTGGATCCTGTTCGGATTCTTCATGAGCAAACTCTTAATGGACGGTGGCTGGAACTTGAGGGGGCTTGGCGAGCCGCAAGGCCTTCACAGCTCCACCTGCTGCTTCTTTGGCTGAAACTTCCCTCAGGACATCTTGGAACGTGAGGCCTTCCTTCGCAAAGAGCTTCTGCTGCAACTCCCGGCTTTGCAGGCCACAGACCAGCCGATTCCTTAGTCTCTCCTCCAAGTCTTTGGGCCTAGCTGCTTGTCGCAAGGCTGCAACAAACTCTGCTGCAGACTCACCAGGCCTCTGGTCCCTCTGCTCGAACATGTGTCACCAGGCAATCACTGAGAGCTTGGGTTCAAAATGCTCTCGAAGCATCCTCTTCAATTCTGTGTAGGTGATTGATTCCAGTGGTGCTAAGGCGACCAGATTCTCCGCAATCTCGAAGGTCTCTTGCCCATACACAGACAGCAGCGTGGCAGCTTTGAGGTCATCTTCATAAATTTGATTCACCCGGAGGTAGTTCTCCACCCGGGTCATGTACGAGCTCCAGCGTTCTGAATGAGCTGTGTCAAACTCTGAAAGCCGGCCTATCTTTGCCATCATTTCAGCCCAAGAACTTCGTCCACGCCTCCTGCTGCAAGGATTGAGAGGGGGGCCCCTTTTCTGAGCTCACCGCCAGCATCTCAGTGCTGGCAGGCTAAGTCAATCTCCAGGAGCCACACTTCTCCAAGCTGCAAGCCCCCCTTGCAGGCATCTCATCCTTGTCGCCAATGTT